GCCTTAAAATTGTCAAGGTTGAGAAACACTGTCTTAGGGACTTCCAGTGAGGCTTGGGCCTGCCTTCCTCTTCCTGCTGTTGTGAGCTTTTGAATATTGTTGCAGAAACCAAAATGAATCTCTATAGCAGGGCTGTCAAACTCGCCACATCATGTGACATGTCAGGACGTATCGTGACTTTTTTCCCATTGCTGAAGTTGGGGTAGGTGTGGTTTGGCCAGGATGCATCCGGCCCGTGGGCTGGCAGTTTCACCCCCCCGCTCTACAGTGTTCCATACAAGGTGGTCTTCGCAATCAATGGAGAGGTTGCTTGGCCTGGCCCCTACCCACGTTATTTTATCCTGCTAAAATTTGATGAGATGAGATGAGATGAGATAACCTTTATTGTTATTTTTTTTACTGTGGGCACAACAGCACACATCAAAAATAAAATTTAATTGCCTCTCTCAAAGTGAAACACATACATGACACACATACTATGAACAACATATATATACTGTAGACCAGCGGTTGTCAACCTATGGGTCGCAACCCCATTTGGGGTCGATTGACCATTTCAAGGGGGTCGCCAAGCAAGGCTGTCCGCCATTTTTTTTCTCCTTTTCCGGCGGGTGCCTTACCTCCCTTGGGCTGGGCCAGCTGGTGGCCCAGCCGGTGGTCGGCCTGTTCCGTCTCTGCCGCTTGCCAGCTATGCCTCGGCCGACGCAGGGGGCAGCACCACGCATGTGCGGTTCTCCCGGGCAGGGAAAGTCCTCGACTTACGACCGGTTTAGTCCTCGACTTACGACCGGTTGGGGTCGCGGCATTAAAAAGGTTGAGAACCACTGCTGTAGACCCACACCCCTACATATACGTAGCAATAAATATTAAATACTGTCCATCTTGAATATATAACGGAAGGAGGAAGCTTGAGAGTTCACAAGGTTAATGCTGTATGGAATGAAACTCTGGCTGAATCTGGATGTTCTGCTTCAGATACCACAAAGCCTCCTCCCAGAAGTAACAAGGAAAACAGGTTGTGAAGAGGATGTGTAGTGTCCCAGATAATCTTACGGACCCTTCTCAAGCAACGCTTCTGTGCTATGTCCTTTCTCATATGTGCCCTTATGGCAGCCCATCTTTCTAGGGAAATAAAAGGCCTACAGAGTGTTTCCTTTAATGATGGGTTTGTTTACTTGAAATAGATTGGTTTGTCAATGTGAATCATACAGACTAGCTAGCAGTTAAGCCATTATTCGTTGAGAAATATCTGTTCTCACTGGATGGCAGTAACTGGTAAGCAGTTACTGGATGCTGCTGTTCCTCTATTGTCTTCATTGTAACCAAATAGGAATATGGTATATCTAGACTTCGAAAAATATTTGTCACAGACAGTTGGAACAACGAAAGTTGGGATTTGCACAATTGAGTTTATGCTGATAGGCATTTGGTGTGTGTAGAAAATACAACGGACACATAATACATAAGCAGGTTAAACGATGTTTGCAGATATAAAGCCAGTTTGCACTTTGGGTCAAACGTTGCTAACTGCTTTGCTATTTGCATGAAAGTGAAGGTGTTAACTATGAATGAAAAAACTAAAATGTACATTAGTAAGTATGAATTGGCATCATTTTGGTTCTTGGGGGAATCTGTAGAAATAAGAATTCATAGATTAGTGATAATTATATATTGTGCTCTAGTGAATGAGATAATGGAAGAACAAAAATTGAGTTTGGGAAGAATTGTATGACATTCTAAATGAATGGGATTGGGGGGGGGGAGAGTTATTCTGCTAGGTGTCTCCCATGCATGAATGGGAGTGCCTACCATACATGAGTGAATGAATGAATTGATGGATGGATGGAAATCAGAGGAGAGGATAGAGAAAAAGTGATTCAGCTATTTAGAGACCTAATGTCAAGGTTACGACTGATGAACCCAACCAAGCAAACGCTTTTGAGAGTTTCCAATCTCATCATGTAAAATTTTATTGAATACATCATGTCGCCACGTATGAAAGTAAAACCAGCTCTGGCTAAACCCCACATAGTGAAAGCATGGAATTCTCTCTCCTCCCCCTGGATCAGGTCACATTGTCCAATTAGAAGGAAAAACATTGTTATGAGAAAATGTTTCTGGGTCTGGCCAGACACCTGATGAACGTCCTTGGGTCCCATGGTCTTCTCACTTAATCTTTGAAGTCTGCATTCCATTCTTTTCCCTCTCAACCCCCCCCCCCCCGAGTTTGTTGGCAAGCTGATAAGCAAATAAGTGCTGCAGCAACAAAATCGTGCTTCGAAACTTGACACCTAACAGTGAAAGAGAATGGGGACTGTTTGGTGAGTGTTCAGTTTAAAAAAAGTATTTTTTTTTCTTTCAGATTCGTGGTTTAAATTCAGGTAATCCTTAACTTACAACCGTTCATTTAATGACCATTCAAACTTATGACAACATTGGAAAAAAGTGACTTACAGCAATAGAAATAGCACTTGGAGTTATATAATGCTTCATAGTGATCTACAGCATTCTGTAAGTGATTTATATCTTGCGTCCAACAATTTGGGGTCCCCATTTTACCAACCTCGGAAGGATTGGAAGACTTATGACTCTTTTTCACACTTACAACCATTTCAGCATCACCACGGTCACGTGATCACAATACAGACACTTGGGGACTGACTCACAAGCCAAGTCAATGGGGAAGCCAGATTCACTTAACGACCCCGTGTTAGTCATTTAACAACCACAGCGATTCACTTAACAACTGTGGCAAGAAAAGTCGTAAAATGGGGCAAACCTCACTTAACAACTGTCTCGATTAGCAACAGAAATTTTGGGTTCAATTGTGATCATAAGTTAAGGACCATTTATATACATGACAAACAACACAATAATGTACATAAAAATGATTGTGGTAAAAGATGTGTTAATGAAAGAGGTTCTTAGAGGCTCCCAGCATGAGACAATACCGTGTGATGGAACGTTGCCTGGATTCCCAGGATGGTGGGAATACATTTCAGAGGAGAAAGAGACAACTTAGCGCAGATAGTTTGTGTGAGAGAAAAAGGGTGAAGATGGTTCCTCCCTAATAGTTCCCAAAATGTATGCTTTATGAGAGCGGTAGCATGCTTTACTTTGGCGGTAATCTGTCTAGATGAGGAACAATTAAGAAAAACAGCTTGGAAGAATCACAATGTGTCTTTCTTGGTTTTTGGAACTTGACAACGGCTTCTTAATAGTTTCAGAGAGTGGAATAAGAAACATAAAAGATAAAGGGAATAATTTTACGAGAGTGAAAGCAGGACTAGAATCCTGTACAAAACTTTAGATGACAGATCGTTCTTTTGTTGAATGGAAAGTGGGTGAACAAAAATAGGCGATGGAAATGCTTTAATTATAAAATAGGTTGCTAGATGGAATGAAATGAAATGAAAGGGTCTGTGGATAAGAAAACACACACACAAGAAAACGATGGCTGCAAAAAAAAAGTTGAAAGGAAGATCGCACACAGTGTAATGAAAAATATAATAGTAGTAGTAGTAGTAGTAGTAGTAGTAGTAGTAGTAGTAAAGTTGGAAGGGATCTTGGACATCATCTAGTCCAACCCCCTGCTCAGGCGGGTAACCCTATACCATTTCAGACAAATGGCTGTCCAGTCTCTTCTTAAAAACTTCCAGTGTTGGAGCATTCACCGTTTCTGGAGGCAAGTTGTTCCACTGGTTAATTGTTCTCACTGTCAGGAAGTTTCTCCTTAGTTCCAGGTTGCTTCTCTCCTTGATCAGTTTCCATCCATTGCTTCTTGTCCTGCCTTCAGGCGCCTTGGAGAATAGCTTGACTCCCTCTTCTTTGTGGCAGCCCCTGAGATATTGGAACACGGCTATCATGTCCCCCCTCGTCCTTCTCTTCATTAGACTAGACATACCCAATTCCAGCAGCCTTTCCTTATATGCTTTAGCCTCCAGTCCCCTAATAGTCCCCTATAGTCAAAAGAGAAGAAGGAACGTTGAATGTTAAAAGAGACAGAGGACAAAATGTTTGGAAATGGGTGAAGAAGTTAAACAAGCTCCCTCTAATAGAATAAATGGAATTATTAATAAAAGCGATAATGTGATTTGCAATTCTGCTGAGATGCTGAAAGGAGTTTAGAGATCTGTAGAAGAACAATAATGGTATATCAGAGCGTCACATATAAATGCATAGTACTTTTTCAGGTTGGCTAGACTTTGATCAGCTTGGGCTGAAGAAAACAGCGAGTAGGATAAAAATACAGATAGCCCTCGAGTTGCAATAGTTCGTTTAGCGGCCGTTCAAAGTTACAACAGCACTTAAAAAAGTGACTTATGACTGTTTTTCACCCTTACGACTGTTGTAAGGGTGGTCACGTGATCAGAATCCAGATGCTTGGCAACTGACTCATACTTACGACGGTTGTAATGTCCCGAGAGTCATGTGATCCCCTTTTGTGACCTTTGCACAAGCAAAATCAATGGGGAAGCCAGTTTCACTTAACAACCGTGTTGCTAACTGAACAACTGCAGTGATTCACTTAACAGCTGTGGCAAGAAAGGTCATAAAATGGGGCAAAACTCAATATATGTCTCAGTAAAATAAATATTGGGCTCAATTGTTGTCGTAAGTCGAGGACTGCATGTATTGGAACAGTCAAAAAATGTGGTAGGCACAAACTCCTTACTCCTTGCTCATCTTTAAAGATGCTTAACCAATTACATGTAGCATATATTCCGGCGTATAAGGCGACTCAGCGTATAAGACGACCCCCGACTTCGGCGCCGAGTCGCATGCCTAGAAAGTCGTCTTATACGCCGGAAACTACTGTTATTTCCGGCGTATAAGACGACTCGGCATATAAGACAACCCCCGACTTTGGCGCCGATTTTAACGCTTGCGAAAGTCGTCTTATACACCAGAAAGTACGGTACGTAAATCTGCAATCTTTTTTTAAAAAAAACAGTGGAGACTATAACAAAACATTAATCAATATCATTTATTTTTGGCAGGTGGTGCACTGTCCATTTTCCCATCAGGATCTCCTTTGGTTGTGAATAGCGGGCAAGAATTTAAGCTGACCTGTACTGACGGTGGCCCAGTGACCTGGCGGTTTTACAGCGCTGACCCCTCAGCGAGGCTAAAGAATTTCAGAACGAAAGAAGTGCATGTTACTCAAGCAAGACCAGCAGACACAGGAACCTATATATGCAAGAACAAAAGAAACTTGAACAGCTCCGTTTATGTTTTTGTTAAAGGTAATTTCATTTTTATTTCCTCATTTTCCCTTTCTTCATCGCAAATAGGCCTTTTCTAAAAAGCATTAGGCGTGAAGGCTGGATTTGGTTTACGTTTATAGTCATCCCGTTGATACTTATAGGTTCAGTGGTTAAGACATTGGGCTTGTTGGCTGGGAAACCAGCAGCCCAGGTTTGAGACCCGCGCACCATGTGACCGGGTGAGCTCCCGTCCTTGCTCCAGCTTCTGCCAAGCCAGCAGTTTGAAAGCATGCAAATGCGAGTAGATAAATAGGTACCACTTCAGTGGGACGGTAACAGCACTCTGTGATGTCACACTAGCCATGTGATGTGGAAATGTCTTTGAACAATGCTGGCTCAAAAGGTCTTGAAATGGAAATGAGCACTACTGCCTAGAGTTGGCAACGACCAGTGGAGTAAAATCTGCAGGGACTATGTATGTATGTATGTATGTATGTATGTACGTACAGTAGTGGCCAAAATTGTGGAAACCTTTTGGGAAAAGTGTATTTTTGAGGTTTGATGGCTAATAACACCACTTTTTTTGGAGTAGTACCATAAAATTATATATCAATGGAAAGATAATTTAATCAAGAATGTAATGCAACATAGTTTGTTCAGTTATCTGTACTGTATTCTGTGAAATGTTATAGCCAAATAACCAGAAAAAGGAAGCACAACTTGCTTAGGTTGATCTCAGGTAGCTTTCCTTCATCTGATTGTAGCCAATGAGCTTGAGTGTTTAGAGAGCCAATCAGGTGTCATCTTGTTTTGGCAATGAGCCAATCAGATCACAGTAGGATTCAGTGATTGATGTCCTGTATTGAAGCTGAGAGGAGGACATTTGTCAGTGTGTTATGTGATCGCTATCAAGTTGGTTGGGTTTTTTTGTGTTCTTTCATTTAGTAAGCTTGTAAAACATAATAAAATTAAAGTAATGGTGCAAAGAGTTGATTGGTTGCCCAGAAAGCGATGTAAAATAGTATTATTAAGTGAACAAGGCTACAGTTATAAAGAAATTAGAAGAAAAAGTGGTGGAAACGTAACCAAAGGTGGCATTTCTACTGTTCCATAATTTTGGCCACTACTGTATATATGTATATAATCCTAGGAAAGCAGCATGTCAAATAAAACACTTTTGAGCTACTGTGTGTAACTCTTCCTCATAACTTAAACAGAATGTCTGAATACAGTGGGACAAAAAAGTATTTAGTCAGCCACCAATTGTGCAAGTTCTCCCACTTAAAAAGATGAGAGAGGCCTGTAATTGTCATCATAGGTAGACCTCAACTATGAAAGACAAAATGAGAAAACAAATCCAGACAATCACATTGTCTGATTTGGAAAGAATTTATTTGCAAATTATGGTGGAAAATAAGTATTTGGTCAATATCAAAAGTTCATCTGAATACTTTGTTATATATCCTTTGTTGGCAATGACGGAGGTCAAACGTTTTCTGTAAGTCTTCACAAGGTTGGCACACACTGTTGCTGGTATGTTGGCCCATTCCTCCATGCAGATCTCCTCTAGAGCAGTGATGTTTTGGGGCTGTCGCTGGGCAACACGGACTTTCAACTCCCTCCAAAGGTTTTCTATGGGGTTGAGATCTGGAGACTGGCTAGGCCACTCCAGGACCTTGAAATGCTTCTTATGAAGCCACTCCTTCGTTGCCCGGGCAATGTGTTTGGGATCATTGTCATGCTGAAAGGCATTACAAGATTGACAGGTTCGCCTTGGCGGAGGCCTCCTTTGGTAAGAGGGTTCTCCAACAGGTCGTACCTCAAAGTGCCACACCAGACCGGCCTGCTCCCCTCCCTCAGGGACAGTAGGCTTTGGTATGTCCCATTGGTGGATTCTCCATCTCCAGTGCTGGAGAAGGGGCATTGTCTTACCTGAACGCCTTTTCTCAGCACGGAGATGGATAATCCACTCCCGCCCTTGCAGGTTACTTAGGCCTAGGGCAGTGGTTCTCAACCTTTTTAATGCCGCGACCCCCAACCGGTCGTAAGTCGAGGACTACTCAACCGATCATAAGTCGAGGACCACTCAACTGGTGCAGCACCGTTTGCAGAATGGGACTTTTGGCGGGCTCAGCAGGGCAGAGACAGCCTGGACAATTCCTATTGGCTTTTGAAAGCCAATAGAATTAGACTCTATTCAAGAGAGTCTAATTCTATTGGCTTTCAAAAGCCAATAGAATAAAAGGGAGTAGCACAGCTAATGAAAAGGGGGGAAAAAATGGTGGACTGCGTTGTTTGGCGACCCCCGTGAAATGGTCGTTCGACCCCAAATGGGGTCCTGACCCACAGGTTGAGAACCACTGGCCTAGGGCTAGATTTATGAGCCAACACGTCTTGCTGTCAGTCATGGCTTTGCTTGTGTCGAGACTGGGTTACTGTAGCCCAGGACAGGCATTGCAACTTTGGCTGACTTGATCTGATTGGGCAGGAACACAGTCTAAACCCATTGGTGGATTATCCATCTCCGTGCTGAGAAAAGGCGTTCAGGTAAGACAACACTCCTTATCTCTGCAACCGGGGGTTCCACAAAGTATGCTTAAAAGATTCAAGTTGTGGTCATGACAGCGTGACTGGAATTCCACCTGTTTCTTATGAATGACACATGAACATAAAAACCAGGCAAAGCTTGATTGCCCAGTTGTTCCAGCTAGTACAGTCATAGCAATCCAATCCATTTGGACAGCGCTGACTTGGGAAAGATAGCTATTACTTCTGGTGGATGCTCCACCTTCTAAAAACAGGATACATGCCTTCTTGGACAGCTGCAAGACACTGGCAAAATATTGATCTAAAATGGTATCAGTTTCAAGGTGCTGTTTGGGGGAAAGTGTCTGTGAGTGTCTGTGATGTAATCAACATACAGTATTTCTTTCTGGCTATTGAAGACAGATAACATGGAAAATTATAGATTGACACTAAATATTCATTTTAAATATTCTATGAGCCAAGAGTTCTCCTGGCTCCATTCAGGATCATGAGAAGAGTAGATTAATTCTTTTTCGTATACACCAGGGGTGTCAAACTGCCGGCCCACGGGCCCGACGCATCATAGCAAAACCGCACCCACCCCATTGCCGGCAATGGCAAAACCGCGACACGTCATGTGATGTTGCGAGTTTGACATCCCTGCTCTACACCATAGCCCTAAATGAGAATGTCTTCTCTTTTTGAAACTGCCACTTGACGTTAGAGACGGTCCAGAGATGTAAACAAGTGGCAGAGGTGAATCAGTTTGCAAATCTGAATCTGCCATCTCAGATAAGACTTTCAGTCTGCCTCTCAAGTCAACCTTGTTTTTAAATTTCAGAGATTCTTAGAGAAAGATTGCTGTCCTTCAGGCAAGTTCATACCGTAGATCAGGGGTCCCCAAACTGTGGGCTGTGGCCCACTACCGGGCCGTGGCCAGCGGGCCATGGAACAGGCTGACCAGGGCACGCACCACCACTTGTGCTAGCGTCACTACTGCGGCGAAAACGGAGCACTATGCAGCAAAACCAGGGCACCACACGGTGAAAATGGGGTGGTGCTAGCGCCCGTGTGATACTCGCTAGCACTGCCCTGTTTGCGTCACGCTTGCTCGCGGCCCCATTTGTGTGAACGCACACGTGCGTAAAATGCTTCCCCTTCCATTTCCCTCCGGTACGACCTCTGCCGTAATGAAAATAAGGAGTCATTGTTTTTCAGCACACATCCCTGCAAGGGAAGCTAGTGACAGGAAATCATATGATGTCTTTATAACAGGCCTTGTTTATTACTTTGGCTTCCAAAACCATAATCAAAGGGCACTTCTAGAGGGTGAACCTAAACGCATTTACCAAGGTGTAAGCCTGATTGAATCCAGCATGACTTCGGAATAACTAGCAGAAGAGTTTATTATGCACCCAGGTTCGTTGTATTCTACTTCTTCTCCTTCAACCCAACATAGCCACAGTTCCAGATTCTATGTTCTACCTAAAAGTGGCAAGATTGATTGTCTTACAGCCTCAGACATGCCCGATAGGTGATAAATAAATAAGGGCATAAGGCAGTGATGGCAAACCTTTTAGACACCGAGTGCCCAAAACCCGCCCCACCCCGTCCCACCCACCCCATCCTGTTCCCTGTCCCGTCCACCCACAGTGTCACTTACCGCCTCCACGGCCCATTGCAGCAGATCACCCAGGCAATTCTGCAACACCATGGTGGCCATGCCCTCCGCCTGCACCCCACAGCATCATCTGCGGCAACAGGGCATGAGCGCGGAGTCTTGTCCCTGCTGCCTGGCTGCTAATGTCCTTGGCTGCGCTGTTCTGCGCAGGCCGCGTCTGGGGGCGACTCTCCTCTGGGGGGCTGCTGGTGAGGGGGCTACAGGGGGAGGTGGGGCTGGGGTGTGGGCACATGTGCCCACAGAGAGGGCTCTGAGTGCCGCCTCTGGCACGCGTGCCATAGGGTTGCCACCACTGGCATAAGGTATGCTTGAGTGACATTCAGTGGTTTATCTAGACCAGAGGTCCCCAACCTTTTGAGCACCAGAGAAAGTTTTTTCTGCAGACCGTCCGGGTGCCCGTCCACGGACCGGGGGTTGGGGACCCCTGATCTAAACTAGCCAGGAAAATAAAGCATAGATAATGGTCAGGCACATTCTGTTCTCCAGCATTTATAAGGCATTACAAACTTGATAGGTTTGCTGCTGCGGAAGCCTCATTTGGCAGAAGGGTATTGCAGCAGGTTGTCTCCTCCCAGGGGACACACGCCTAGACTGTCCCTCCCGTAAGGGACATGGGTGGCTTTGGTATGTCCCACCGGTGGATGCTACATCTGCTGGAGAAGGGGCATTGTCTTACCTGAACGCCTTTTCTCAGCATGTAGATGTAGCATCCACACCCACCCTTAACAGTCAGTCTAGGCAGGTGAGATTGCAGGAGGAGCTGTTGCGTCTGATTTGCTTCGCCTCATTAAAACTGGGGAAGGACCGCCCTAAGGGAGGTGTGGCTGAACTT